AGAAAACTACAAACACGACTGAGATAAATGGAAGAACATCTAAGTAACTATAGGTGCCTACTATGTCTATGGAAGAGAAGATGTCAGTTCCTTCCGAATTGCTCTATAGAGTAAACGCAATTTTAGTCAAAATCCCGGAAGTATTTTTAAGGAAACTAATAAGCCAATTCTAAAATTTATACGTAAATTCAAAGAGCCAAGAATAGCAAAGACAATGCTAAAGAAATAGAAGTTGGAGAATATATGCTATCAGATAGCATTATGAAGCCAATAGTTCAAACAATGTGGCACTGGCACAAAGATGGACAAGCAGGCCAATGGTACAGAATAGGGTATCTAGAAAAAGACTCAAATACCTATGGTTACCACTGCAATGCTGTAAGGACAGGATCGTCTTTTCAACAAATGGTTTACATCAACTAGATATCAAAAGAAGAAAAACAAATACTGACTCACACCATGCACAAAATCAATTTCTGTTAAACTGCAGACTTAAATGTGATGGATAAGATAAAATTTCTTGAAAATAACGTATCTTCATGATCCTAAGTAGACAAAATATTCCTTAATAGAATATAAAAAGCACTAACCATAAACAAAAAGACTGATAAACTGAGTTTCATTAAAATGAAGAGATTCCATTCATCAAAAGATACCATATTAAGAGTAAAAAGATTAAACAACAACTGGAAGATAATATGTGTAACATATACATTGCATACATACAAAGTATTCAACTCTGGCAAATCAAAAGAAAGCTGACAACCCCAACCTTTTTTTTTTTTTTTTAAATAGGCAAAAGATTTGAAATGTACTTCACCAAAAACAGGATTATCAAGGCTGGCAGGCATACAAAAATGTTTCAAATCAGTATTTTTCAAGGAGATTAAGTTAAAACCATAAACAAATCAGCGCACATCCACCAAAATAGGTGAAATTAAATATAATGCAATAGCTAGTGTCAGTGAGCAACTGGAACTCCCCTATGCTACTGATAAGAATTAAACTGAGAGAGCAGCTTTGGAAAATTGACTGGCCATATCTACAAACCCTCAACATAAGTAAGCCTTATGCTGCAGCAACCCCAGTATGTACAGACCCAATCTGAAATAAATGTATATGCTTCCCCCCAAAAATTAAAATAACGTTCTTAACAGCATTATCACAACTGCCAAAAACTGGAACAATCTGAAAGTCCGTCAATAAATTATGGTATAGTCATATGGGATACTACATAGCAATGAAAAACAAATTTTTGTTACATGCAACAGCATGGAAATTCAGAGATACAATTAAATGAAAGAAACAAAAGAGTATGTAATATATGATACCATTACTATAATTTCCCCAAATATGGCAAAACTAATTCTGGCAATGATTCACATCTTGATCTGGGTGATGTTTAAGTGAATATTGTGTAAAAGTGTACTTATTCATGCACTTTTCTACACATATGTAACAACTTCACTTAACAGTTTAGGGCGAAAAAGTCCACTTGACAAAATTCAGCTAAGTGAGAAGTTGAAAATAAAGAACTCAATAACAGACCTAAAGAAAAAAATTGTTAGCAAATGCTGACTCTACTTAACTACAGTACTATGATCAAACCATTAGAAAACAGGAATGTACCAACTTCAACAATCTAAATTTATACAACTACAATACAGTTTATCTTTATTACTGTATCAGGCTAAAACAGCTAGATAGATTTTCACCAAATTTAGAGAGTACGTTCAGGGCAACCTGACTGAAACTACAGACTACATGGTATAAAGGCTGTATGAGGTCAATCCCCTCGGAAAGAAAGGAAGAAAGCTGTCCACCAGAGCAGCTGCAGGCTACTGATTTGCAATGGAAGGGCTTTGCTCTTATTCAACTCTTTGTACCCTGCTCCAGGCTAAGTGCCAGCAAGGGTTTATTTAACAATGGTTAAATAAGAGAAACTCTAGAAAGACCAATTAGCATAATGCAGCCAGAAAAATAAAATTAAAAAATTAAAAAATTAGGAAGTAAAATAGAGAAGGAAAGAAAGGTATGTGAATACCATTCATAGGGAGCAATATAGGCTGTCTGAAAATGAAAAAATAAAATACAAATTGCAAGGCCATGATCTAGACCTTACTCAACGACTTTCCAGGGATGAGATTCCAGTCAACAACCCTTTTTGTTGACTTAGGCAGGCAACTTAAAACTCTAAAATAGTTCATGGAGGTGTTAATGTCCTTTTAACTTGCTGAGCTCTTTCCAGTAAATTAAGCTGTTCTTAACCCAGATGGAACAGGAAGGAATTCTTTAAGGATGGGATCACATGTCATTGATCTTCATAGCCCTAGAGACCTAGCCTAGATCAGGTACATAAATTAGACCTTTTACATAATTGTTGAATGTTAATTTATGAGTATACACTGAATCCAGTAACTGTTGCACTGTACTGCCAGATTCTAAAAACTGAAAATGTTTAGTTCTAATCAACAATAAAAATATTTGACTTTGTACTTTTTAAGGGCAGATATATACTTGATCTCTCTGTTCTCCTTCAGGATTATGTCATCCCAAACTTCTACGCTTTAAATAAAGCTCCTTGATTATTAAGCAGAAAACATTTCCAAGTGGGTAAATTCATGTTTCACTCTAGTTTCCAAATAGACTGCACCATAATCAAGCATGGCTGCAAAAAAAATAGACAAGAAACCTTGCTTCATTCCACTGTTCATCAATTCCTGTAGGTTTTTACCAAAAAGAGTATCTCTTAGGAACCTAAAGACAAACATATATTAAACTGATTAAACCTACCCCTTTCCAAAACAGATTTGAGTCTGATACCTACACAGAAAATACACTTTACACTTCTAAAAATTATGACAAAGGAAAAGAGAGGAAACAAATGTACTAATTATAAAAATCAACAAAGTAGTAGAATTAGGCATTATGTTTAGTTTTGAGCCTCCTGACATCCAGAGCAAAAAAAGACATCTGGGTTATAGATCTTGCTGCAAAACAGAAGCAGCAAGCTAGTTTCTCAAAGGAGAAAGCTTTTCATTGTAGGGAGCCCCCAACTTCTCATCCAGCAGAGCTCTGCTTTTATCTGTTTTCAATGAAAGCATTTACAATTTATATGAAGAAAATGTTCTGCAGTTTAAAAGAAAAGCAAAGCTTGAAAAAAAATGGTCTGGTCCAATCCTTTCACTTTACAAAAAAAAAAAAAAAAAGCCAACAAAATTAATAACTCACTTCAGTTAAAACATGGCTATCGAGCAGCTCATGATCTTACCTAACTTCATCTTAACTTTTATTAATTTCCTTTTAATACAGACAACAATCCTGTGTCAGCAATGAGTGTACAAAAAGCAGTAAACTAATGAAGTAAACCTCCTAATAGTTCAACTTGTTCAACTTAGCATTCATTTTTTTCCCCTAAACGAAGCTTTATACATGTCAGGGATGATCCAACAGGAAATTTCCAGCCTTCTGAACTATCCAAGGACACAACAGAATTATAAGGTCACAGATGTTAGCTCTGCAGCAGACTGACCTACTCAGCTGTAAAGTCAGCCAACCTGCAGAAACTAAATTTTCTCCAGCACGTAGGTCCAAACAACAGGGATTTGCAAAGGAAGGTAGGGGCGGGGGCAGGGGGACGGGGGTTGGGAGCGGGGAGGTGGTTGCTCTGGACAAGTTCTCACATAGCAGCAGAGATCTTTACTTCTCAATCAACAAAACAAAATTTTAGAGAAAAACACTATACAAGCTCGCTATAAATATTAACGCAGAGAAATCTATCCTGAGCAATAAGAAACACTCTGCTTGTTTATGCATGTATGCGAAAAGTAAGTTTACTACAATACCTTACTAAAAAATTCCACTCAGGCTTCCATTTTACCCTCTTCATTTCAAACATAGATGCAGCGTTCAGCATACTTGTTGACCACAAAACTGGAGCAGACGTAATTAAGACAAAACTTATCAAAGAAAAAAAAATGTATGTAGATGCATGTATATAATTTCAGATTCTATGATGAAATTACAGAGACCTGCTATTTGGCACAGAAAGTCAAATTTTTGGTATAATTTCAAAATTCCTATCTCCTTTGTTAATTGAAAAGATAAAAACTTTTAAATATGCTGCTTCTGATTTTAAAGAGAGAAAATTCTGTTTTAACCCTTTTTCTCAGTTCAGAATATGAGATTTCCAAAGAAATCTATTAGAATTTGTAAAGTTAATGACAGTAAAAATAGTTAATAATGTAAAAAAAAAATTTTCTTCTAAAAGTTGTTTTCCTTCCTCATATAAAAATAGCTAACACATTGTATTAAATAATTTCAGATTATAAGGGAAATCAGTAAGTTTATCAATAAGTTAATTATCAAAAATAACCAATAGCAAATCAGTAAGTTAATGCATACCTGTAAAATCTAAAGTGATGCCAGAAGTTCTTTACATACTTGTATAATACTTCTATCATAAAGTTCATTATTTAACATTTCTCTCCAAACAATTAATGCCCTTATATGCTGATATAAGCTTTATATAATGATATTTCCTCACAGAGCAAAATAATGTTCAAATGGTAAAATGTACCACACCAACAAACAAGGAAATTTTCAAATAGTAATTTTTCAAATACCCATTTTCAACTGGTAAAACTATGACCATATCCACAAATAAGAAACAACCGAGACAATATGAACCCTAAGGGGTGACTTGGGAGAAAAGAACATATAAATTATGAATTCAGTGCACCATCAAAATTTCTCTGTCAGGTATCAGTATTTCAAGTTAAAATCATTTCAGAAATTTAGTAACTTGCTACCAAACATAAGAAATATATAAATAACTATTTTTCTACAACCCTCTACACATTGTTCTGTATTATAAAAAGTTTGCCTTAATTGCCACGCAATCTGTTCTTTTTCTTCATTGAACTACTGCTATACTTTCTTATAGTATTTGTTGCAATTATAAACACAAGACCAAAGAATAATTTGATAACAAAATTCACCTTTGTTATTGTTTTTGCTTTCAAACCTCCATTCTCCACAACACTGAGGTCCAATTTTCCATCATCCTTACTTCCTATAGCTTTTAGTCCTTGCAAAAGAATATCACGTAAATTTTGATAAAGAGGTTTTTCAGTGTAGTCTAGTAATTTCACTGTTTCCATGTATTTGGCAATTTCACCTAAAAGAATAACACAATCATTTTATAACTTTCAATCACAAATCTAATATATTTCTCTCTTACCTCTAAAAAAACAATTCATGGTTATAGTAAAGTTAGAATGCAAACACACATCTTGTTAAGATACCTATTTTTTTCAATCACTTCAATGAAAAGTATGCTTTTGAACTCAGGAATTGTCAGATAACTGAAATTAAAAAAGTATTTTGAGATATAATATAAAACACACTTTTGTAATTGTAAGAAACAAGACAGAACTTAAAATTTAAATATTCATAAAAATAACTATTTTAGTATTAAAGTTATAATACAAAGGGATCTAAAGATTATGAAAGTAAAATGTCCTTAAATACAATGAATATCACAGCCAATTTTTTTTTGCCATCAAAGCCATTAGCTCTATAGCAGATAGAGAAATAAAACACACCAAAAAGAGGTCAAAGAAAGAAGAAAGAAATAAGGTCTGGCTTTCCTATAAAAGAGAAAAATCAGCTTCCAAATGATAAAGGTTTACCGTACACTTAGACAGAACCACACCATAAAAAAGAAATCCTACTAGTCAAGATCAACACTTCTCAACATTAAAAATCCATTTTTGAGCTAATGACTCACACACAGACCTTTCCCCCAACCTCCAGACTTGTATATCTACCATTCATATATTGGTCCTTGGATGTGTAAATATCACAATTCCAACAAACTCACATCTAAACTCTTGACCTATCCCTAAAACTAGAGGTTTTCTCTGTCTCAGTTACTGAGAATTTCATCCTTCTAGCTCCTCAAGCTAAAATCTGAGTTAGTCATCCTTGAATCATTTCCTCTCACACCAGTCCTTCAAGAGATCTTATCAGTTCTATACACACACACACACACACGCACGTGCACACACACATTCATTAACTCAAATATTTATTAAGCACTTCCTATGTGCCAGGCACTATTCCTAAATACTTGGAATATACCGAGAAAAAAACAGACAACAGTACGTGACTTCCAATTTCTTCATCTGATAAAGGAGATGTACAAAAAAAACTAAAACAATTATCACCATGTATGATAAAACATTGAAAATGCTCCCCCTGGGAGAGAACAATGTCCATTTTTGCCATGTCCCTTCAGTATAATAGAATAGTTATGTGTACTTTTAGCTAGTACAATAAGAAAATAAATAGAAGGCATAAAGAGTGGAACAAAAGATGTAAATCAGACTTTAGTCACAAACAACATAATACTACATGTGGAAAATCCTACAGAATCTACAAATAACTACTAAAACTAGTACATAAATGTAGCAAGGTCATAAGATGCAAGGTAAATATATAAAAATCTATCCTATTTCTATAGACTAGCAAAAAGCAATTGGAAAATAAACTATTTAGAAAAGACTTAAAATAGCATCAAATACTTCACAACAAATACAATGAAAGATGAGCAAGATTTTCCTAAAGAAGACTATAAAACACAGTTGAGAGAAATTGAGACAGACCAAATTTAATAGAAGATATACCATAAAAGTGGACTGGAAAACTCAACAATATAAAGATGTCAGTGCTCCCCAAATTGGTCTACAGAGTCAAATTCAATCCCAAGGTTCCAGCAAACTTGGGGGTGGGTCAGTGTGTGTGTAACTGACAAGGTGATTCTAAAATTTAAATAGAAATGGAAAGGGCAAAGAATAGCAAAGTAGCAAAGTCTAGTTAAAGAAAAGCAGTGCTAAAGAATTTCAACTACCAGATACCAAGCTTAAAATAAAGCTACAGTAACTAAGACAGGGTGGTCCAAGAATAGGCAAAAAGAACAATTGAAAAAAGAGAGTCCAGAAACAGATGCACAGATCCACAAATTCACACTTGATTGATGACAAATATGACAACAAAGGAAAAGAATGGTCTTTTCAAGGAAGGTTGCTGGGTCGACTAGATATAAATATGGGGATAGGAAAGATACATGACCCTTCCTCAAATAATACCCAAAAATCAACTGCAGGTAGACTATACATCTGTATGTATAATTGGCAAGCTGCAACTGCCAAAAATTAGAGACGAACTAAGAGCAGAATAAATAATGGTATGTAACTACAGTAGAATACCTTATAGAAATGATAATGAAGAAACTACTGTTAAACATATACAATAATAATATACAAAAACAAGTGCAGTGGCTCATGCCTACAATTCCAATACTGGGAGGCTGAGGTAGGAGGACTGCTTGAGCCCAGGAATTCAAGACTAGCCTGGGCAACACAGTGAGATCACATCTCTACAAAAAAAATTTTTTTAATTAGCCAGGTGTGGTGGCGTGTGCCTGTAGTCCCAGCTACTTCAGAGACTGAGGTGGGAAGATCTCTTAAGCTCAGGAGGTCAAGGCTGCAGTGAGCTGTGACTGTGCCACTGCACTCTAGCCTGGGCAACAGAGTGAGACCCCATCTCAAAAAAACAAAACAACAACAATAACAAAAAAAACCATGCGATAATGGGGATGAATTTCACAAATACATTACTGAGTGAAAGAAAAGGACACTAACAGAAGTAAACCATAATTTCATGAGGACAGGGATTTTTACCTATTTCATTCACTGTATTATTCCATTTCTATAAATTTTAAACACAAATATTTGGTACTGGAAATTAAGGTAAGTGACTCATTCGGCCACAAGGGAGAGGCTACTGATCACTATGAAGTCCAAGGCATAATTCTGAGAAATCCACATTGTATTTATTGATATGGGGAGTAGGCTGCAATTTTAAATAGCATAAGGTCAGGATAGACAGACCTTCCTGAAAAGGAGACAACTGAGCAAAGGCTTAGAAAGACTTCTGAATATATGCAAACTGACCAATTCTCACTCTTTGGCTGCTACTTCTCTTGCATGGGTTACTGCAGTGGCCTCTTAACCTGCTTTCTGCCTAGGCCCATCCTTGCTCCTTTGGCAGTCCATCCCTACGCCAGAAGCAGGAGACCTTTCCCCTCAGGATAAACAGTTCATATCACTCTTCTAATCCAAACCTTACACTCTTCCTTGAAATAAAAGCCAAAGCCCTCATGATTACCTATAAAAACACAGTCCTCGCATCTCCTGGGCACTAGTGTCCCTTCTGCCTAGAACTCTCTTCCCCAGACTTCTACAGAGCTCACTCCCTCCCTCACCTCCTTCCTACAACTGCTCAAATATCACCTCCTAAGTGAGGCTGTCCCTGGACGGCCTACTTAAAATTACAGTCCTCCTCGCTACTTTACTACCCGCCCCAACTCCATCCCCCTAATTCTATACCCTGTTTTCTTCTAGTTCCACAGTACTAACCAGGGGAACATACAAATTTTGCTCATGTGTTTACTATCTAACTCCTCCAACTACAATGTTAGCTTCATGAGGGCAGGGATATTTGTTTTGTTCCCTGATGTACCCCCAGTCCCTGGCGCACAATAAAGCCTCAATACTTACTAGCTTAATGGATGAATGAAATTTGCTTCCTTTGCTAAAAGCACTGAATAAAATTGAATAAGGCTCAAGTATTCATTTAACAAACCATCTAATATCCTTTTTTTTTTTTTGAGACAGAGTCTCGCTCCGTCACCCAGGCTGGAGTGCAATGGTGCGATCTCAGCTCACTGCAACCTCTGCCTCCTGGGTTCAAGCGATTCTCCTGCCTCAGCCTCCTGAGCAGTTGGGACTACAGGTGCATGCCACCACATGTGGCTAATTTTTGTATTTTTAGCAGAGATGGGGTTTCACCTGTTAGCCAGGATGGTCTCGATCTCCTGGCCTCGTGACCCACCCACCTCAGCATCCCAAAGTGCTGGGATTACAGGAGTAAGCCAACATGCCTGGTCACCACCTAACATCTTACATTAAGGGCTATTCCATGGATACCATGCCTTTTTATCCCCAGAAAACAAAATCCCTACTAACACTAAAGAAGTGTTTTCCTACCTGGTTTGTTTTTCTCAGGAAAACATTTGTCCATCAAACTTGCAATATTTTCTCTATATCTGTTAAAAATTAAAGAATGAGTCACTGAAGCTTGATGTCATGTTATTAATATGAAATAAAAATACATAGCACATTAAGCAATATTGTGCTACATCCTAAATGTGCTTACAGACATTTTTCTAAATTAAACAAAAGACTAAGGAACCTTACTGTTTAACAAGTACTTTCTTATTTCTAGATCAGTATCAGTTGAAACTATAGTTCCTGTCAAGAAACTGTGACTAAAAACATTTGGCTTATCATGATTTTGCTAGAAATAACTTAAGTTTTCCTTTACCTAATTTTGGAATCTCTAACATATTTAGGATCTTTCAAATTATCCTCCCAAGGAAGATGGCCAGTAAGCCATTGGATCATGCAATAACCAAGTATTTCCAAATCACCACGTCTTGATGGGGCTACAAATGCAAGAGAAGAACATTAGGTAGACTGAAATAATTTTTAATATATAATTTAAAGTATATATAAAGTAATAAGGTAAAACAAGTCAACTCCACAGTCTGTTTTTCATCATAAAATTTTGACTGCATTTCACCTAGGTATTGGACAGTATAAAAGAAATAGCTTACCTCCCAATTTACTTCCAATTAATAATTTCTACTTTAAAACTCAAACTGGTAAATTTTAGGGTTTCAAGTGGAGACTGTTACTCTAGAAATACAACAATGATAGACTCAATACTGCCTTTGGAAAACTTGAAGATATTCTTAAAATTTTTATATGCTATTAAGAGGCCCAGAGAACTGGGTGTTTGAGTTCTTCCACAGCTTTGAGCACAGAAGAAATGACTGCTGAGGAAACAAACTAACTTAACAGTTAGTAAAATAAAAGTGAGCTGTTATAAAGTTGTAGATACATAAGAAACTTGAGAAAAAATACAAAAACAAACAAACATTCCAATTAAACTAAATAAAACCAAAAAGAAATCCTCATTGCAGTTGAATGAACCACTACCACCTTCTTGGTTATCTTTGAAGGTTGCAAGGAAAAGGCAAGAGAGAAGAACACAAATGGCCCTGGAATACAACTGTAGGAGTCTCACCTCTGCCTTCTTTCCTCATGCCCCTGTGCCTCTTCAATTCTTATTTATGTATCTATTTATTTATTTATTTATGCATAATTAAGAACTATGTAGGAATCTGGGTGAAAACATTAGCAGTCTATTTCTCACTCAAGTACTACTGACATACCCACACCATTGTGTGCATCGATGCTCGTGAATTCAATAGTGCCATCATGACATCTTTTGGGGTCTTCTTTGTATTCTTTATGAACTCCTTCTGGGCAGTACCGATAAGCAAGGCCATAATCTACCAAGTACACCTATAAATTTCCAAGCACCAATACAAACTAAAGTCAAAATCACTGCACATACACCCCTTTAAAGCATAGAAACAAAATACTGTCATCTGAAGGTGGGTTCATCTACAAGGTCATTCCATAACACTCCAAACAATTTAGATCCAAAATGCAAACAACAGCAAATACTTAATTCTGAAAGGCTTTTTACTTTTAATAAAAATGTTAAATGACCACACAGCTATAGTGTAACCATTTGACTTTATATACTTTTTTAAGATAAGTATATGTTATACTTGTAATTAATCTTGTCTCTTCAATTTGAATGAAAATTATACATTTTATACTTTATCTTACAGACTCTAAAACTGAGCACAGAGCAAACCATCAATACTTGTTGCGATACAACTGCTACTTCCCACACAGAAAAGCACACCCAGTAGACCACTGCTAATGATGTTGACAAAGGATATGTTAGTTACCTTCTATTCCTCTGTTTCTTCACTTGTAAAATAATCAAATCTCAATTTACTTTATAAAAATATTTCATACATCATAATAATGATCTAAAGAACTGTTAGATCAGGCTCTTACTATATTTAAATACTATATTCTAAAGCCAAGTCTTCATGATTAAAAGTAAATTTTAATATTATATACATACTTATTCATGGGCATATACATGTGGGTCTGATTAGCATACAAAGCCAATAAACTTGGCTTTCTTCTATTTCATAGCCACACATTACATCTCTAATTCTGAGTAAATGTCACAAATGCATGCATCTGGGCACAAGAGGAAACTGAAGCAAAAATATGTAGCTAGATCTAGCACATACATCTAACACGGGAAAAATAATCCCATCCAAAGCATATGTCTGAAGGATAACAGAGCTGCAAAAATATTTCCATATAAACAAAGGCAGCATGTTTTAGTCACCTGCAAAGTGATATAAGTTATATTTTATTATACTGTACAAGTCCAGCCTATTTCAATTAATGGAACCCTTATTGTTCAGGTTGTTAGCTGCGTTTTCTTTGTTCTTGGCCTAGAAACATCTAAAAAGAAATGGCTAGAAACAGCAGAGATGAATTTGATGATTGCCTTTTTAAGACTTCTCCATTAGCACACTGTATTAACAGTATAGTAACTTTCTTCTCTAATACTTATATAGATTCCCTTATATCCACCATAACTGACATTGGAGGAAGGGAAGCAAACATGAGACGACAGAAAAAGAAAAGGGACCCAAAGGAAAAAGGAAAAACTAAGCAAAGGTAAAGGTACATTTGAGAGAAAGAATGAAGTACAGAGTACTGACAAATAATTATAATAATCAAAGCACCCAAACACACTTAAAATGTTTAAATCTTCCTTTTTATTTAAGATCAAGAAAGAAGTGAGAACATACATTAAGTATGAATGTCAACTAAGCCTTACTTTCACCGAAATCACAGAAACAGCTATACAGGAAAATAGTATAGATCCCTCTACTTCAACTAAACTCACCTAAATAAAGGTATAACAACATTAGCTTTTCTCCTTTCATTAGAAAGTAAAAATTACAAGGGAATGTAATAAGCAAAAAAAAAAAAAAAATGCACATTTGAATTCCAAACACTAAGGGTATACAAATTTAGACAGCTAAGATATTTCTGTAAACCAATTGATTTGAATAATCAACATGTTAAAGACCAAATTTTCCAAGTAATAGAACACTTACATTTGATGGATTTCTTGAACAAAGGAATAAAAAAAGTGACAAAGCAGACAGGCAAACATAATTCATTGGTGTACTATATAATTTTAAGCTTCCACCCCCAAATAGCTATTTGAAATTCATTTTGTATCACAAGCACTTCTTCTGAATCTTATTTAGGGCAAAATAGCCAACTTGATAAAGTGCCAACAAATCACATCAAAAATGTAGAATGTTAACTAGATCAAAGTGTCAAGAAGAAATATTATTACCAAATCTACTTCAAAAAGTAAAACTTCTACATAGGTTCAAAAGTTCAAAGCAACCATATTTATTTTCAAACAACACGTTTTAAATAGTAGAAATTAAAGTTATAAAACTACCTGGTCAGGATTCTTGTAGTTCAGAAGAAGATTTGAGGCCTTGATATCTCCATGCACATACTCATGCTCGTGAATATATTCCAGAATATCCAGCTATGAAAATACATACAGAATAAGTTAATGCAGTACCTAACACCAGCCAGCAGAGGACCAAGCTTCAACATAAACTAGCCTTTACTGTACTAAAAACAATGTTTTAAAAACAGGAAGAATATAGCTCACATACAATTCTTAAGCTTAGCTGCAAGACAGTTTTCCGAGAAAACCTTTTGGCATTTGCTTCATATATTTTCTGAAGGTCACTCCCAAAGCGATCCATTATCATAAACCTATAACTGAAGACAAATATGAAAAGCCAATGAACAAAATACAATTCAAGAAAACCAACTTTGCAATGAGTACTCTCAAAGTAATCTTCTCAAGACAATGTTTAGTAAATACGTTTTTTCAAAAAAAGAAATACAAACATTTGCAACAATTTCTCCCAACTAGAAATCTCAAGAGTTCAGAGTGCTTTCAGGTCCTGCTTTTTACCTGGAGGGCCTCTTCCTGGTCTCAGCTAGTTTTAGGAGACTATTCAATTTAAGATAATGCTCACAGAGAGAACCCAACAGGTTTATTCACAATAAAAATAAAACAAGCTAAATAAAAATGACAGCATTCATTTTTCTCATAGTTATAATTAATTAATGTTTCTGGATATCAGCTTCCTTCCTGTGACTGTTTCTCTGTATTTTTAAGGTATATTCAGCAGTAACAACATTCTGCTAAAATCAAGATTCTTGTCAGATGCTTTAACAAGAGCCAGATTCAATACCATTGTTTAAATGGCGCAGATTGTACATTAAACACTCAATGGCCAAGATTTGGGGAAAAACAAATATCCTGGAAAAACGTGAAGATAATTGGTTTGGCCATAAAGCAGCAATGTCACCTTGGCTGAGTCACATTACTTCCTTGGGCCTCAATTTCCACAGAAGTAAAATGAGAGAGTAGGACTCACCCTTTCTAAGGTCACTTCCAGCACCCAAAACTCAGATTCAATAATCATGTTGTATTTCAGTATGTACAGAAAAGCATCACCTATTTGCAATAACACTGCTCAGCTTCTGCTCTGAGGACCACTTTTACCTTCAACAGTTTTCCAGATTTGTCTGGTGAAATCATTCAGTAAATCAATAAAAACCAAAACCACACTCAGAATGTATCAGGACATCTCCAACAAGGAAGATTATGAATCATCAACACTCTACCATCTAGCATTTACTGAACACCTGGTATAAGCACAGCACTACTGTAAGTACTTAAAATGTTATTAATGCATTTAAACCTCACATCACTCTATAAGGTAGGTAATTCCTATCATCCCCATTTTACAGCAGAAGAAAACTGATAATTTGTCCTCTAGTATGTGGCAAAATCATGCTTTTAACCACTGCACTACATACACTGAAATAAATGTCAGTAGGATACAAAAACCCCATTTATATGTTGTAGGCTTCTATGATAACAATATGACAAGTTCAATAGGGAAGGAAGAGTTGACTAACATTAAAAGACAAGATGTTGAACAAGTAACTCAGAATTCTATTCATTTTTGAATTGGAAGAAAATTAGAAAATCATCTTGTCTAAACATCTTTTAATAAATAAAATAACTAAGGTCTTCAGAGGTAAAGTGATTTGTCCAAGGTTATAAAATTAGTCAGTGGTGGTCGGGCGCTGTAGTTCACGCCTGTAATCCTAGCACTCTGGGAGGCCAAGTCCGGTGGATCACCTGAGGTCAGCAATTCAAGACCAGCCTGGCCAACATGGTGAAACCCTGTCTCTACTAAAAATACAAGAATTAGCCGGGCACGGTGGCAGGTGCCTGTAATCCCAGCAACTCAGGAGGCTAAGGCAGGAGAATTGCTTGAACCTGGGAAGCAGAGATTGCAGTGAGCCGAGACTGAGCCACTGCACTCCAGCTGGGCAACAAGAGTGAAACTCCATCTCCGGGGGGGGAAAAAAAGTGACAAAATGTATTCATTCATGTAGGATTTCCTAGCACCTTGGCTTGTAAGATAATAAAGTGAAAATGGTAACTTTGACTTCCTGGTTTCCTCTGTATAACAGGTTTTGAAAGGTTGAGAGATGAAACCAGGGCACATATACATGTTGGCTTTTACTAAATAGGTGATGTGTGTAATGATTATAATACAGGATGAGCATCTCAAATCTGAAAATCTGAAATCAGAAGTGCTCCAAAATTAGAAAGTTTTTTTTAGTGCCAACATGATGCTCAAAGGAAATGCTCATTGGAGCATTTTGGATTTCCCATTTTCGGATTTGGGATGCTCAACCAGTAGGTATTAATGCAAATATTCCAAAATCCTTAAGAAATCCCAAATCTAAAATACTTCTGGTGCCAACATTTCAGATAAGGGATACTTAAGGCCTGTAATACACAGGTAACAAAAATACAACCTCTGTAACAGCCTGAAAGACGGCTAAAACACAGCTGCTTAATTCAACATGGGGTCTATCAATAAATTCTATTACATAGATCTTTGTTTTTATTCACAAATCACCCTACCACCATTCTTATTAAGCCCTTAATCTTGTCACCATACCTAAATCATAAACATCAACTGAAACATGATTCCACAAATTTCATAGAAACCATTACCACATTCTTCTGGAAAGACAGCTCTACCATTGAGTAGTAAAATGGAAGTTATCTCTAAGTAACTCCTCTAAAGTAAAACTTTTGATGTAGACTTTTCTGGAGACTTGAATAAAAATGTGCAAGTAAAAGAAAAATATACATCAGTATAAATAATTTAATAATGGTAGCAGCTAACATTATTCTAAGCCCTACATACATATTAATTCAAATGAGTTACAAGAAACACTAAGGATGTCTGGTACGGGAGGGGGCTGGAAGAATAATCTACTTTCTATTTCTTTACTTTCTAAGACCTACGATGATTCTTTTTAAGAGCTTCAACCTAAAAAGCAAATCAATGCCTGATATTAAAGGAGACATTTCTAGCAACCTCATTTTATAGAAGAAATGGGCTAGGAGGTAAAGTCATCACTAATAAGTGGTGAGTTAAGACTTAGGCTGTGTTCTCGTTTGTCACCACATTCTAAGGCACTTCTGATCCACACCAGGGAAGTTCTTTCCAGCAGTACCCTCGTCAGTCAGCTTACAGTGTCAACCTTGGACCCAGTTAGCCCCCGGCCACCTCACAGGAGTTATACACAAAAACCCTGTTTAACTGGTTCCAAACTTTATCATAAAATGGGTGATAAGAATGTATATGGTAAAATGTGATATGACAGTTTGGGCTACTTTTAAAAAGACCATCATTCTTAAGCAAAATATCACCACTGACAAACAAAAATCATAGACAAACAAATGAAACCAATTATGATAATCACAGTGATGATGACTGCAAGAAATATTTCCTGGGCACTTACTATGTGCCCCCTTATAATTTACATGTTTTCTTTTCATCTTCACAGTAATTCATAAAGTATTATTATCCTCATCTCACAGACAGGGAAACGAGAGAGACAGAAAGTTAACTAGCCCATGACCACACCTGATGCAGTCAAGTACAATCAATCTAGTGCTAGATTTGTTTGGTGTTTAGGTTTTGCTGCAATATACTGTACTTGGTTTTTTGGGTTTTTTTAGACGTTTATATTGAAATTATGGAAAGAAGAAAAGGCTGTTATTCCAAGCGGAAAAATGCTCCAGCCCCAGGCACACTTTTCTTCCAATCATCTCTATGAAATGTGGTTTCTATAACGTACTGTTCCTTAGAAATATAACTATTGTATACTGGAGCACACAGTCAAACAGATTTGCTTCCTAGCAAGTCATCACTAAGGGTTTTTCTTGTCTTATTCCCCTTTAGACAGTCTTTAATTCACCATGTAAACCATTTCCCAAATGCCACCTTCACCACCGTGTCACCTCATCCCTTGCTCAAGAGCAAGTGATAGCTTCTGACTACCTACTAGACATTGGTTCCAAACTGTTCCTTCCTCTATGGGTCTTCATTATCTGCCACCGACTTTTTCTCCAAGTTTACTTCCTTCTCTCTTACACACATGCCCTCTTCCTCTGCTAGAGGAAGACGGCCATTGAGTCATACAGTAGAACAGAAGTCTATCCTTGTGCTCACGTTAATCTCCCGCTAAGGATGCTATTCCGCCTCCTCAATTATTTTCTAAACCAGTAGGTTTTAACATTTAAGCGATTAAAGACCCCTTTGAGAGCAAAAGCTAACATCTATGTTCTACATATACTCTTGTAGCATTATACTTAATCATCATTAAGTGGTTAGCTGTTAATCCATTTCACAGATAAGGAAATTAAAGCAAAAAATTGCCCAAAGTCACACACATTTTAAAGGGCAAAACAAGGTTTTAAAACTAGGCAGTCTAGCTCTAGAATCCTTGCTCTTAACTAATCCTTGCTCTATAGTATTTCTCAAGAAAATATTATAAAAACTGTAACATATTTTGCTCTCCCAGCAAAATCATATAAAATAAAACGTTCAACGTGACTTCAGGAATCCCCACACTCCCTAAGAGAGGCATGGTTCCCAAGTAAACAACACTGGCTGTCTACCCAACTACTACCCCTCCTCTTAATCCTTTCCAACGGAGCACCAATTTGGTTCTGGCATTCCATCCTTTTCCACATGGATCACTGTGATCACTTTGTCCTTGCCAGTAAATAGTTTAAGAATAAGTATTGATAAAATTCTGACCAAGAAAACATGAGAGGAAGTCTGCCACAGGGCTCCTGGGAAAGCTTTCTTTGCCAGGAAAGTGAAACTCACAACACACGATAGATACCATTTTCTGCCCTTGGGTACTGTGCCTGCATGTGAAGCCTAGAAATGGAGCAGCCACCTGGCGACCACACAATGGAGAACTAACAGAGAACAAAACTAAGATGAGGAGGGCAAAGGTGCAAGATAAGGAACCTGGGCCCTTGATGACTGCCTGAGTCAAAGTTTTCCTTTACTTGCAGCTGAAATCATCCTAAGCAATGTATCCCCAGTTCCAAACTAAATCTAACCTTCACGTCTCAGCTACCAAAGCCTTACTCCATGAAGTTCCATTGATTCATTCAAATATGTATCAAGTGCTGCTAATGCACCAAAGTATTAGAGGTTTTCTCCAAATAAACTATCCCAAAGAATTCGTTCTCTCCATTCTCTGAACTCCTAAGACACACAAGTCAGTATCATACAATTTTGCACTTAATTGTTCTCTAATTGTTTCATACATACTTGCTTTCACTCACCTCCTACACTAAATCCCTCATAAAGGGTGAGCCTGATCTGGTGTGGGCAGATTACGTATCCAACATGAAATACCAAATAGAATCCTGAAGGGGTTCCCTTTTGCATAAAGAACCTAGTTTGTTTATTTTTAAGGGCAAAGGAAAAAATGCAGGGTCTGTTTGGCTTTGTTCCTCCTTGTCAGTTGATATTGCTCTGTAGAAGTCCCCTTACTAGAGAGGCACCCCTATTCTAATAGGGCATTATAGCCTGCTGCTATGGAAAGCAGAGGACAGAGACAACATCTTATTCCTCTCTATCACATACATTCCACATAGTCTAGAGGGAGGCCTAGTAATATTTTAAGTGATCAGAAAATAATTACTGACTAAACCAACTAAATAGCGAATGTTGCAAAAGGGAAGGAGAAAGACAAATCACACATATTTTTACCTTTTTCCATTTTTGTCATGTAGACCAGACCCCCAATACTTAGGAACACCCAGGTACTTCAGCTTATGGGTACGAATCCATTTCTGAACTACAAATTCAAACAGATCTTTGTGATTTCAATTGTTATACATAAATGATAATTTTTTAAAAAATCATTAAGAGCAAAATGTATTTAAACATGCAATAAGAATTCGCCTGTATTCATAAAAAAGAAAATGAAGAATACAGTAATGAAAAGCATTTTACAATGAAAACATTTTCATTAACCTACAAAACTGTTATCCTGCCCTTAAAATTGTCTTTAAAATGAAAAATCTATAAAAAGTATTTTTTTTTAAACCACAACCACAGTACAGTCATTCCTTTGTTCTAGGGGCTTGGTTCCAGGAACCGCCACCCCTCAAGATACCAAAATCCAGATGCTCAAGTCCCTCATATAAAATGGTGTAATAGCTGCATATAACCTCCACACATCCTCCTATATACTTTATCTCATCTCTAGGTTACTAATAATACGTAATACAATGAAAATGCTGTATCAATAGTTGTTACACTGTACTAGTTTTTTATTTGTATTATTTTTTACTATTGTTATTTTTTATTGTGGTGGGTTTTTTTTTTTTTTTTCCTGGAATAATTTTGATCCCTGGTTGGTTGAGTCTGAGGATGTGGAATCTGAGAACACAGGGGTGGACTACCCTGAAGTTGCAGTTTATCTCTCTAATTACATAATGTTTACTTGCTTCTATAGGAAGACCTATTTTTCATACCAATCTAAGAGGTTTTTCTTCCTCAATATAAAAGTCCTCAACCAGGAAATCAAGATCTAGGAGAGATGGAAAAAGGACAGAAGGGACTAAAGTAACTAGGAGAGGTTCTGGCTCTCTACCTTGATATCCTGTTCTAGTTCATCAATAATTCTCAATGTTTAACAATATTTCCTAAATCATAGGTCATTTATTATTAACTTTATTCTACATATCAATACAGATAAAATCTTGATGCAACGAACCCATTAAAAGACCAGAATTCTTTCATACAAATCTCATGTAAGAGGAATTTGTAAAGCAAAAAAATAACAAAGAGTCATAAAAAATAAGATATAATGCTCTAGGTCTTGGCTTAAAAAAAAAGCTGGTCATTTTAAAAGTGTAAACGTATGTGTACTGTATTTCTTACTTTGCTCCGGTTTTGCAGCTCGTTGGTAGAACTTTAATTCAGTAAAAAGAGGTCCATTGTCACTGGGTTCCTTAAAATATAAGAGTTAATTAGTACTAGCAGTAGTTAAAATTACTGAGATATTTTCAAAGAACCTTCAAAGAAGACCAACAAATCTATTTTTCTGTCCAATGTAATTTTGATACTTAAGTTTATAACTGTGTTAAGTCAAACTCCTTAGAAATGTTCAGAGAAATATTAGTCTATATTTCTTACATTGCTCAAGTTCCATTTCTATAAGTGATAAATTATACAAAACCAGATATATAGCTCAGCCTGCAGAAGTTTAAGAAAAATGTTTAAACTAATTTTCATCTTTATTAAGCTTTCCCTTAAGCAAAGATGAGCAACCATCTTAACTGTATCACCAAGGGGCTACAAGATATTTCTCAGATTTAATAAAATTTCAATACCTGATTTAACCAATTAATGCCAAAATCCCACTCCTTTCCTGTTTTCATTACAGTTATATCTACTTTATCAGGACTGGCAAAAACAGACCTTACCACAAAGAAGAGTGCATATTCTGCATCTCCTTAACAAGCATGCACTGTCCACTAACCTGCATCCTTCCTTTCTGGCACGGATTCCTACGTTTGTCAAACCAAAGAGCCATTCAACTTATTTCCACATGATTTAAAGTCAAGAAAAACATGGGACTCACTAACAATTGTCTTCTACCAACGTTATGGACTACATTCATTTTATATTTTTAGAGATATTAACAATTAAAATTATTACTAAAGAAACATACATTCACAAAAAGGTATTTGCACAAATAAGAAATGACAGCCTATCAGCAGTTTTGTCTTGTTAAGTAAATATATGAGTGGAAAAGATCTTATAATTCTGTGGATTTTTTAAATAGTAAATTTTATCTGATTAAAATTAGTATTTATTTAATGTTTGGTATTTTGTGTTGGTCATTATTTATCGGGAATCAGAAAAAAGTATTTAAAGCAGTGAAAACTTCAAATGAGGAAACTAACATTTTTAAACTAATTTTGGGGTTGCTTTTCTTTTTAGGAGGTATGAGAAAAAAATTATTTTGGGCAGAATATCTTGTGTAGCTGGAGTTCAAAGTTAAATAGAGCATTGGGGGAAGTGAGTAATGAGGCCTACTATCTTAAACGAGAGATAATTTATAGTTTTGGGTTACTAGAGATGACTTTTGCAAGCACTTAAAGTATGTTCACCTTTTCTTCACTGAAGACATCCTCAACTGTAGAAAACCACTCCATACTCTCTGCTCTAATTATCTCAGATTTCTTATAATTCAGAAAATAGGAATCCCCAATAAAAGTACTTAGAGGAAGGCTGGGCATGGTGGCTCATGCCTGTCATCCCAGCAGTTTGGGAGGCCAAGGCGGGTGAATTACTTGAGGTCAGGAGTTCAAGACAAGCCTGGCCAACATGCTGAAATCCCATCTCTACTAAAAATACAAAACTTAGCTGGCTGTGGTGGCAGGCACCTGTAATCCCAGCCACTTAGGAGGCTGAGGGAGGAGAATCACTTGAACCCAAAAGGTGGAGGTTGCAGTAAGCTGAGACTGTGCCACTGCACTCCACCCTAGGAGACAAACCAAGACTCCGTCTCAAAAATAAAATACTTAGAGGAAAACTGATTAGCCAATCTGCAGAGTCAGGCAGTTATGAATGAGCATTTAACAGCAAATGGGCAACAAACGTTAACACTTGGATCACAACCTGAAAATAAGCTTGCCTTATTTGTTACAGGTAAGTACGCTTTTCACCCTAACTTTGGAAGACAGTAGTATCATGGCTTGGCATGCATCAACTCCTTAAGAAGTAGGAACTAACCAACATACTGAAAGTATGAGTGCTGATTCCTTAATTTATGGACTCAGCACCCAAGTTTCTCTATAACCTGTGGCTCCTTTCCTAGCAGCAACAATAGTTTGACACTTGCAAGCATCTGCAAGAGAAACGTGCAATGTTTCCAGCCAATGGCTAAGAATAGGTCTTCGGTAGGAATCACAGAATCAGTGTAAGAAACAGAAATTCAAAAAGAGGAATTCTGGTAAAGTTCCTCTCCAAAGCTTACCTTTGGAATAGCTCATTTATATAATTCAGGTTTGAAAGAGGTTTTCCTAAGACAAATCAATATAAAATTCTGATTTATTCAGTTTCAGCCTACGTCATATCAACTTTAGTTTTCCTTCAGGCAATAATTTATTAAACTTATAATAATGAGAATCAACCATATAAATCAGGCTATTATAATGAAAGCCCACTACAAGAAGGCTCTCCGGGCTCATTTCATACTTCTTCTAATCCAATAAACTTCCATTATCACAAAATAAAGGAGCTACTTCCTTGGCACTGCACTATAGCCAAAGCTAGCTATTCCTGTTGAAGAAAATACCTTAACTCATAACTAAAATTTTATTAACATATTTCAAATCTAAAATACTCTGCCAACTCTATAATAGCCAAGATTTAGAAAAGAAATTGGGACTGACATTTTAACTAGAATATCACTAAACGTTTCTTTAAGACTTCTAAGTGTCAAAATGAAGATGACAACAGAAAAAAAATTAAAATGTGATACATTTCAATGGCACCAGCTAAAAGCAACTGGCTGCCATTTAAAAATGAAGCTGTACAAAATTTCTCCTGCCTACCAAAAAATTATGATATATGAATTAAAAATTCAGGTCACTTCTCATAACATCAGTGAGGAAAATGAAACATCAGTCTGCAAACTTCTTTCCAAGGACCTGTGAAATACAGATTCATATCAGTTCACATCAGAAAAAGACGATGATACAATAACCTGTTAGGATACCAACCAAAAGCCTGACCTCTGCCTCTAGTTCTGCTACTGAAATGACTAAGGGTAAGTGCAATTCAAAGAACTACTAATTTCATATTAAGCCTGTCAGCAAGAGAACACAAAAGAAAATTTCTTTCTCCTTGCATTATCCAACTTATTATCAATTTAACATTTCTCTCTGCACAGTTACTTTCAGAAATAAAATAGTGTTTCTCCTGCAGGTCAAGAATTAAGGCCCCAAACAAAACCAGAGACCATCATTTGGTACATGGGAGAACATTTTTAATATGTGCCTAATATCTACCTTGAATGGGTATGTCTTAACTTCACTCCAATGCCAAATAAGAAAGTTGTGGGTTAACTATCTGGAGCTGTTTCATAAGGCAGATACATGTATTATCAGCAATAACCAATTTCTTGACAAAGCGTCCACATTAAGTTAGAAACCCTTACCAGCAGCACAGGGTACCTGCAAACCCCCACTGAAAACAAGGATGAAAATGTGCCTGCACACATGATTCCATTTAAAATAATTAAGGTGCTCTGTGTGCCAGATTCTACCAGTGGCTCTCAATCTTGATGCACAAAAGAATCACCTGAGAAGCTTTACTAAAAATACCAATAACCAGGCCCTGCACCCAGAGATTCTGATCATACTCCACAACCAAGATTGAGAATCACTGTTTGATACGCTAGTCCATTATTAAGTAACATTTCACATTAGAAAATCAATTTACCTTTATTTCTTAAGTAACATTTGCAAGTTTTTTCTCTAATGATAAAATACATGCTCATTTTAGAAAATATGGAAATTCTGATATATTTTCTTCATAAATAGCCATTTTATAAAACCTTCATACTACGTATAGAACTTTGTATCCTGCTTTTTTAGAAATAATTATAAAACTTCCCCAGAGTAGTACATGTTCTTTGAAAACATGATCTTTAATAGCCCATAATGTTTTAAATGGCAAATGTTCATAAACAGCTCTGATTTTAATACCAGGAAGAACTGATACTCATTTTACATGTTTGTTATTTGGTGAAACATTTCAACTATTAATATTATAAAGTTGTGAGAAGGCAAATTATGAGTGGCCCTACTCTCTATGGTACAGATAAGACAGGAAAGTGAAGGACATCAGGAAGTTGAGAGTAAATGAAGAGAGTAGTAAAAAGGCAATGGGCAATTAATGGCTAAAAAGTATTCAAAAGAATAAATAAAACAAGCATCTAAAGACCGCATAGGGAAAACAAACTTCATTGACAAGGTCCTTATCAGATAATTTAAAATTTAGTTAGAGAGACAGAATAAATACATTCAAAAAAACTAAAAACAACTAGTGGCGTAAGAAGAATAAAATTCTAAAATAAATGTTAATACAATGAGTGCTATAGGTGTTTATTCAGGAGAGAGTGTTAGGGGAAAACAAGCAAAGAGAAGTTACAAATTTCCCCTTCAAAGGAAAGGAGAAAGTCAATAATATTATTTTTTATTTTTGGGTTTTTTGGTTTGTTTTTTGTTTTTTTTTGAGATAAGAGTCTCACTCTGTAGCTCAGGCTGGAGTGCAGCGGCACCATCTCAGCTCACTGCAACCTCCACCTCCCAGTTTCAAGTGATTCTCCTGCCTCAGCCTCCCGAGTAGTTGGGATTACACGCATGCACCACCATGTCCGGCTAATTTTTGTATTTTTAGTAGAGATGGGGTTTCACCATGTTGGCCAGGCTGGTCTTGAACTCCTGACCTCAAGTGATTCACCCGCCTCAGCCTCTGAAAGTGTTGGGTTTACAAGCGTGAGCCACTGCGCCTGGTCAGTAATATTGTTTTGTGTATGACATTCTTCTAGGATAACTACAATATCCAAAAAGTTACTAAAATATTAAATGCAAAAGAAAAATCAACTGAGTATTTATCACTGTCCTAATTACAAAGAGAAGAAATAATAAAGGATAATGGAAACAGAACTAAATTAGGAGACAGGAGATACACAGTCCTAAACTAGGTACTTGGTCTTAAACTTAAAAATATAATTCATTACCTTAAGCATATAGAAAATACCTGTTCCTGGCCATGTTTTTTCTTAACCGTGTAAGTTAAAAAGGCAGTAAAAGTCAAGTTACACTGACTAACAACAGAAATACTTCTAATCACTCACAATAAAGAACAACAGAAATATTTCTAAGTACAATAAGAAAGCGCATCATTCTAAGATAAAATACAACTTAAGTTCAGAGGCCATGTGCCATGGCTCACGCCCGTAACCCCAGCACTTTAGGAGGCTGAGAGGGAAGGATCACTTGAGCTTGAGTTTGACACCAGCCTGGGCAACAAAGCAAGACCTCATCTCCACTAAAAAATCAAAAAGATTAGCCAGGCATGGTGTTGCATGCTGGCAGTCCCAGCTACTAGAGAGGCTGAGGCAAGAGGATCACGTGAAACCAGGAGATCAAGGCTGCAATGAGCTATAATTGCACCAATGCACTTCAGCCCAGGCAACAGGGTGAGACCCTTCTTCAAAAACAAAAAAGGTTTAGGCTATACAGAACAAAAAAGACATGATTATACACCATTCCACCTACAAGATATGACACTGGCACACTTTCCTTCCGAGACACAGAAACGGCTATGCCAACTAACTGCAAGGAGTCAGAGGTAACCACATCATTTGAACCTCAACATTATGAGATGTCATAAGGAGACTTGCTTTCTTCTCACAACAGAACTCTTAATGAACCTAAGAAGAAACTCATCTTACCCATAGATTTTAATATTTTAATATGTATTATCAAAAACAAAGGGACACAATATTCTGCAATTAAATACAAATGACCCAATTTAATAGTAAGAACTTAGTTCCTCTGATTTAGCAGCAGGCTGAATATTCCCAAAAGAATGTTATTCCATAAATGAAAAAGAAGAAAAATCCACAATGAAAGGCCATCATGAAAAGGGGCAGGAGAAATAAAGCACTGACACAACTTGAAAGGCATCACTTTGCTTCCGCTTCCCTGCACGAGGGAATAACTGGGACCCAGCCCTCCCGCTGCAAACAAAGATAAAAACAGACTTTAAAAAAACAAAATTTCTGTTTTCAGAAATTAGATAATGGGCAGGACAGGAGGACTGTGACCCCTAAAAGACAGAAAAACAAAGTGTGTCCACAGCAGCCCTGGTTTTTTCCCCTAGAGGTCCTAGAAGTAAAAAGGAGGAGACTTAAGAGACCTACAGGGCAAAACGGGGAAGACCAAACAGAGTGCCAGGTAGAGAACTCTGCTACCAAAATCAACAATGAGATTGGAAACTTTAAATTAAGAAACAGTGGGGAAAAAAACGAAAGACCACTATCCTTCACGAACAAAGACAGAAGAATCCTTAACGAAGTATTCACAAATCAGTTCTAGCAGTATGTAAAAAGTGTAATACACCATGACTAAGTGGGGTGTATGTTAAGAATACAAAGTTTGGTTAATACTCAAATATCAATCAATGTAACTGCCACATTAACAGAATAAAGGAGAAAAATCCTGTGATTCATCTCAGATGTAGAAAAAGCATTCAAAAAATGAATAGGCAAACTACAGTAGAAAATGTTTAAAACACATATCTGAAAAAGGAACTGCATCCAGAAAAAAACTCTTATTACTCAATTATAAAAAGCGAAACAACCCAGTTATTTTTAAAAGATAAAAATAAGAGGAAAGGAGCAAAAACGATGGAAGAGGCACTCCACAAAGGAAAATACACGAATGGCCAATAAGCACAACAAAAAACTGTCCAAAATCATTAGACATCAAGTAAATGCAAACTGAAACTATAACTCACATCTACACGCTAACTGTAATGGCTAAAAAACAAATACACACACCTGACAATGCCAAATGTTGAAGAGGAAACAAACAGAACTGTCATATATTATTGGCCAATGTGTAAAAGAGCACAACCATTTTGGAAATCTGCCTAGTACTTTCTTATAAGTTTAAATAGACATCTTCCCTATAAACCAGCAACTCTAAGTATTTATCCAAGAAAAATAAAACCCTATGTCCATAAAAACACTTGTACAAGAATGTTTATAGAAGCTTTACTCATAATACCAAAAACTGGAAACAACCCCAATGTCTATCAAGAGAGCAATAAAATCAAATGATTGATACACCAACAATATGGATGAACCATTAAAACATTAAGCTGAGCATAAGAAGTTACAAAACAATATATACCGTTTAATACCATTTATACAACCTTCTGGAACAGGAATAACTCATTCACGGCAAAAAAGAAAAAAAAAAAAAAACAACTCAAGACAAGTGGTTGCCTCCAACGGTGCAAGGGAGTAGGGTTTTGACTGATAAAGAACATAAGGAATCTTTTTAGTGTGATGGAAATGTTCTACATTTTAAGAGGTGAGGGATACACAGGTATATGTGCTTGTCAAAAGTCTTCAAATTGTTCATTTTATATCTACGTACTTCCCTGTAAAAATTATGCAATTTTTTTAAAAAAAGTTTAAAAATCACTAAAAAGGTCCAAAAAAGCTGACTCCTAACTCCTAAGAGATAAAATATAAAAGGGAGTAAAATGAAACAAAATGAAAACCTTCAGAGTAATCCTAATTCCTGAGTTCTGGCTGATATGGTTTGGCTGTGTCCCCACCCAAATCTCATCTTGGATTGTAGCTCCCATAATCCCCATGAGGTTGTAGGAGGAATCTGGTGGGAGGTAATTAAATCGTGGGGGTGTCCCCTTCATATGTACATCTATCCCATTAGTTCTGTCCCCTTAGAGAACCCTAATACATGCATCCTGTAGGAGAAAAAGTAAGGGAGGAGTTATAAGTTAATTTGCCCAGATAATACATCCTGTTGGTTCTTCTATTTAACCAAAGCATATTATTCATATGTATCAAATAACTTTGAAGAAGGGGAGTAACAAATGTTGGTAAGCAAAAAGGTACATAATTGACTTAAAAAATAGTTAAAATGTCTTCTAGTTTGCCAACATATAAATTGATCTGGCTGTTAGAAGTATGCTTATGTCAGACAGGATGTCGCCAATCTTTACTCATTACAAACTAATTTCAACATTATTATAGCAAAAAAGGCCCAACAATCACAACTAAATAAATAATTTAATTTACAAAAATGGAAGGGGAAGAAAACTGGGAATAAACAGAAAAAAACTGACCAAGTGGAAGTCCAGAAGCAAATGCAAAATAAAATACAATAAAATTATATTAAATTAGTATAGTCTTATAGGACATAAATATAAAAAGTATCTGTAAAAGTAGCTGAAATTTCTTAAATGAGCTGAATATTTTTATTCCACATCTGCATGCCTCTATGCTTTCATTCATTTACCCCCAAATACCAGGACCACTTTATTTCAAGAGAGGAAATTTTCACACTCAAGTGATTTAAAACTATAAAGCTACTTTTGTGTCTTATTATATATTTTTTAAATTATTAAAAATTTGGTATCTTATGGTTTAATTAATTCTAGCTCATCAAAAAAGGCATTTTACAAAACAAATACTACACCAAATCAACAGAAAAGAAACAGATTAGCTAAAATATTTCTTACCACTTTTACAACACAAGGTGCATCACTGCCAACTGACTCTGAAGAATTCATATCAGCTGTTTAAAAAAGTAAAATAACATCAGAACAAGTAATGTTATAAATATATTAATATTTAGGTTTGTGTATCTGTAACCCTTGATAGAATACACTTCAGTTCCCAAATATGTTTCTCAGAATATTACAGTACATTTCATATATTTTAAGACTTTTGTTCATGTTTTAACATATCTGAATTTAGAATACATCTTACAATTTCTGGTTTCTTCCATATGATTATCAATTACATATGGGAAACTGAGTTAAATAAGTTAAAGATTTCTTTATTCAAAAGTACTAATGGCCTTTGATATGCTAAAGGATACTGTGAATTCCTCAGAGGATAAGTGATACATTTCTTTAATAAAGTATGAAATTCTTTTAAGAGGAGCATCTGAAGAGTAAAAAATGAGGAAGCTAAAGTTCTAAAAAGCACTAGTTTAGGAAAAACTTATCTGGACCAATAGTTCAGGATGCTGGTACTAGAACTTTCAACTGCCATCAGAATAATTTTAATGTGGCTGTCATTTTATTTCAAGCAAATAAAGAAGTACAGTTGCCCCAGAATACTGAGTTAGAAAAATAAGGTTGCCCATATTCATTAAACAAATATTTACCAAGTACATACTAAATGTCAGTTTCTAGGAAATAGAGATTTAGCAATGAACAGGAAAAAATCCTCACTTACAAAAAAAAAAGAAAATCCTTACTCTTACAAAGCCATCATTTCAGTGGTAGGATGCAGACCAGAAATAAAATATGAAGTACATCTGACAGTGTGAAGTGCTGTAGAGGACAAATTAAGCAGGAAAGAAAGGTAAGCAGTGTGGCCACAAGTAACACTGACCTGGTGTTACCCGAGCAGTGGCCTGAGAGCAGGGAGGGAATAAGCCATGTACGCATCTGAGTGAAGAGCACCCCAGGGAAAGCAGCACCAAGACCCTGATGTGGGCGGGCACAGTGGCTCACACCTGTAATCCCAGCACTTTGGGAGGCCAAGGTAGGTGGATTACCAAGGTCAAGAGTTTGAGAGCAGCCTGGTCAACATGGCAAAACCCTGTCTCTACTAAAAATACAAAAATTAGCCGGGCATGGTGGTAATCCCAGCTACTTGGGAGGCTAAGGTGGGAGAATCACTTGAACCTGAAAGGCAGAGGTTGCAGTGAGCAAAGACCATGCCACTCCACTCCACTCTGGGCAAAAAGAGTAAGACTCCATCTCTAAATAAACAAATAAATAAATAAGACCCTGATGCAGGAGTATGCTTGACATGTTTGGAAAACAAGCAGACAAAAGTAGCTAGGGAAAACTAAGTGAGGCAGAAGAAGAGAAATCAGAAAGCGAAAGCAGCAGGGAACAAACACGATGGGTTTAACAGGTAACCTATAGGTTTTGGCTGTCACTATGAATGAGATGGGGAGCCACTGGCAGAGGATCAGCAAAATCAGACTGTGGTAACAAAGACTTCTTTCGGCTGCTTTGTGGAGAATGGAGTATAGAGGCAAGGGGCAGAGGCAGGTAGATCAGTTAAGAGGCTAAACCAATAGTCTAAGTATATGGATTATACCTCAGAAAAGCTACTAAAAATTTTTCACAGGTTTGGTACAAAAATAATGTAAAATAAAATATATTAAAAAAATTTTAAAGCATCATACACAAAGATCAAGAGTCAAAGGGCAGCAAGATGGCTGAAGCACAAACTTTGAGGAGATAAAACGGATGAAGATAAATGTTGTATATGAAGGGTCTTGTATGTCACTCTTTAAAAGTCTGGCACCTTATTTGAAGGGCACTGGGGAGCCATCAGAGAGGTTTAAACACGATGATCATATTATCTGATCAGTGTACTTGGTCATAAAAGCCATACTGATAACAATGGTGTGCAAGGCAGCAAGACTGGGACAGAGAAGATTCGGTGCTACAGTCAGAGTCTAGACAAGACATAATAATGACCTGACCAGGACAGTGGCTGCAAAGGTGGAGAGAAATGAATGGATCTGAGAAGTCACCCAGGTAAAACAACAGGACTAGAAAAGGAACTAGGATATTAGTGAAGGAATGCTCAAGAATGCCTTCCCAGTTTCTGGCTTCAAGGCTGTCATTCATTGAGACAATCCTCATGACAGGATCAGGAGATAAAAGATGATGATACAAGTTTTAGAAATGCCTGTAGAATATCTAAGTAGAGATTCCTTACAGGCCAGTGGCTACGGACCTGGACTCAGGAAATCGTGTCCCAGGCTACAGAAAAAAACATAGAGAAATCAACAGTAAAGAGACAGTAAGAGAAGCCTGACATCACTCAGATAGAATATATAGAATAAAAAGTGAACAGAAGAAGAAAAGCTGGAACACACAGAAGTGCCTATAAAGATGACGAAGCACAGCCAGAAAAGCAGAAAGAAAACTAGGGGAAAGGTATGTTATCATAAACGATAATGGAAGCAATTGTCAGTATCAAATGCTATAGAAAAAAATGCAAAGAAAATTCAAAAGCAATCTTTTTAATTTATTAACAGCAACTGCTGATGATCTTGAATCTGGCTGTTTCAGTGTATCACAGAGAGAGAGACTGGAGGCGACAATACTCAAGCAAGCGCTTCCTTTTACAGATTAGTCATCCCAACCTTATAAAAGTAAAGTTTTATTACAGAGGTCAAATCATTGCCTATTAAAAATACTATTAGATGGCATCTTTTGACGATAAATACAGATAAAACAGAGACACATACAAGGCAAGTTTTAAATGTGCAAACGGTTACAAAAGTAAATTAATATAAAATGAAGAACCTATTTTTTTTAGAGACAGGTTTCTATTATTATAGGATGGCATAAGTCCCCATATCCTGTAGTAAAGACAGCTTATATAATCTACCATCTCCCCTAAATCACAAGATCAAAAATACATACCTGGCTAATATAGCCACTACTCTTTCATGATTTATAAGGATTTTTGCCATAAATCAGAGATACAGCCTAGTTCACTGGAATGGGTTTGGCTCTCAACAAAACGAGAGAATCAACACACATTTCACAAAAAGGGTGCCACTGACCGACAGGAATCATATGTATAAAATATGATAAAGCACTAGATTTCAAGCTATGTTTCATAAAAATAGCTACAGAAACTGCAACTGACCAACGGCAGCCCACTGGTCCTGGAGCAGGTGAAGTGTTTACTCCTCTTGAGTAAGGGCAATGGTCATTCACCTACGTCAGTGGTTCTCAAACTTTAGCATGCATCAGAATCACCTTGATCAAACACTGCTAGGCCCTCCTCCTACGGTTTCTGATTGGTAGTCTGAGGTAAGGCTCAAAAGTCTGCAGGTCTAACAAGTTCCCAGGTGACACTAATCTGTCATATTATTAGTATTCTGAGTAAGATATTGCTAAAAATAAAATTTTCTAAACCTCCATTCCAGAAATTAATTAATCTGAGATTAGAAGTAGAGAATATAGAATGGAAAAGTTAGAAAAATCAGAAGCAAATATGAATTGCATTGTATCACTACTAATATTTATTGATGAAACAGCTTTAGAAGCAATCAGGTAAAATATTTTTTAAGTCCATAATTTAGTTAATATAACAGAATTTCAGGATTCCACAAGGGGTCCCCAAAAATTTCAGAATAAGTATGTTAGTTATCTGCACATTTAATCAGGCCTAATATGCAGTTTCTAGGTAATTCTCCTAGTTCCAGTATGATGGCTAAGAGCGTTGCACAGAAAGAAACAAGAAACCCACACTTGTAAAAGATTTGCAAATCTCCAAATTAGACAGAGGGAATAAATCCCACATAGGTGGAGGTGGGAGGGGAAAGATATGTACATGGGTTTCTTTGGGTCTCAAAAGAGATTAAGATTACATAAAGTATCTTAAAAATCTAAAGTCCTAGTGCTCACTAATGATAGTATTACAGCTATTTTACCCTCTTTTTCTGTTGTGACTGCATTAGCAATTTCCACTCCTATGTCAGAGATGCATTTTTGCTTAATCAGAAACTATTAAGTTGACTGCAGATTATTAGGAACATCCTGTAATAGCTCATAATTGAGAAACCATTTTCATAAGCATATACATCTTTGGATTGACCATTAGAAGCAGTCACACACTTACCAAGATATATACAGCCAAAGCCTCCTTGGCCAATAGGTAATCCTACTTTCCATTCCTTTTTTGCCATGTCAGTTATTATCTCCCCAACTGCAAATTGTTCTGCAAGATGTCTCTTTGCGGGGCCCTGTCTTCCAGCTTGAGCTCCTTTTACACGAGGCATTTTCACTATAACATAAAACAAGGAAACGGTCAGAATTATAATCTTAGAAGTGTTCAAAACATTTTTCCCTAAGGAAAACTTCTATACGGAGATGCTGTTCAAATTCCTACTTACTCCAAAACTTAAAGGATATCTGTTAATTCTGACTTATAATGGCTCAAATCCTATTTGATTATCTCTTAACTTTGGAGAAGAGACAATAAAATCATACATGCAATTATTTTCAAGGAAATAATTAGGTTTAAGTTCCAATGGCATAATGATCAACTACAACTAAAAATGCTATTTAACAACAAAGAATTGCTCTATGAAGTTGAGAAGGAAAGATGCATGCAATCAGAATGCACATTTTATAGGAACAAAATGAAGAGTTTATTAAGGTCAATACCGATATGACAGAACACAGTACAGAGATTGAAAACAAGGCAATTGAGCACAAGGGGAAAGGGCAAAGGTTCCTGGAACATGCTAGTAAATGCTTTACACAGGTTCCCATCCATCCTCATGACTCTGTGAAGATTACATCATCATCCCCATTTTGAGGAAATTAAGGCTCAGCAAGCTGGTAAGTGGTGGAATAACAGAAATTTGCACTGATGACTACCTGGCTCCAAGACCTCACCAACATGCTCCACAATTATGGAAGTCACTATAACGAAGGAGCACAACTTTCAAGACTGACAGGAGAAACTGTGGCTTAGTCATCTGGGCAAAGCTGGTGACACCCAGCATTCCTAAGTTTCCTTTCTCATTAACTGTCCTTTAGGAGATGGATCATGACTCACTTTTCTCAGTAACACATGAGTTTATCATAACATTCAGAGAAAGCAGTGTTTTATTGTGAAAAGAGCACTGACTGAAATCAAAAGGCCTGGATTGCAGGTAAGACACCGGTTGGTTGGGTAATCTTGATCAAGTCACTCCACGCTGGGCTTCAAGTGCCCTCAGGTGTAACTCACTTCGTTGATTGAAGGAACTCAATTTGTACTAGTATGCATGTGTACATGTGTGTGTTGTGTGATTTCAAACTCTCGGTTCTACAAATACTAATCAAAAAAGATTTAAGACAAGTATTTGTTAGGTTCCATAGTTCCCTAAAAACATACTGGAGATACAGAAAAGAAAGAAAGTTAGTAAGAATCATTAAGACAGTATGCAATACTTGAAATGGTTATGAAAGAAGTCTGTAGCTCAGTTTTGAGCCTAGATACGCGACATACATACACAGTACATTTAACTGGAATTTTTCAGCAACTCACCCAGTATCTCTTCAAATATACAAACTCCTTATGTGCAAATGTTCCTTATTAATTTAGTGGGGATTTTTTAATTGAATTTTTCCCATAGAATACTAATGCATCTTTGCTGTCTAAATCTTCTCTAAGCAAAAACATCTTCAAAATAAATAAATGTATCTCTGTTATTTCTTCGTATCAATTAGTTCTCTTAATGAATGTGTTTTCAGACATGGTAAAATCTTGCTAAATGGAATTTCAGTGCCAACCAAGCTAGCCTAGACTCAAACACAAAAAAAGGTTATTTTTATACCTATGGTAGTAAACCAAATAAGAGAAACAACTAAAACACATAGTACTTCCAAATATTAAAACAGATGCCCTTCTGAATTTTAACCAACTTTATCAAATCATCAATCTCTTATTTGACTGGTTCCTTATAGTAATCAAAATAGTTTAAAATGAGTGGACAACATGTTTTTTATCTTTATATATCTCAAAATAGTGACTGCACAATCTTTTGTGTTTTTCTGAAATTCCTTTCCAGAAGTGACAAAAATATCATATTTTAAATGAAATATTCTGGCTCAGCATCTACTCAATGTAAATTGTGGTCAATAAAAAGTGATTTTCCTCCAAATAAAGCTGTTTGCTTTTATTTTTAGTTTTATTTCTGTGGCCAACTAATTGAAACTAATTGTAATAATTAATTAAGGCTTGGAATGACTTTCTTTCCTAAAAATAGTCCCACAGAACAGCGTCATCACTGTCAGTCTCTTCAATACGCTTCTAAATCACAGCTCCTGAAGGTTAACGCTGCACGTGGTGGAGGCAGCAGCACAGCTGTTTCATCTCCCTGAATTCCCCCATAAACCTGGACAGGACAGCTGGAGAGCGAAACTCAAAACCCATGGATAACTTCTCCAACCAACCTGAGGAACAGTATCCCCGTATCTCTACAAATCCCAAAATTTGAACAGGTGAAGACAGACCATGACAAACAGCAACAAGTTGTGTGTGATATCAGCAACTGTAAAGAAGGAAGCAGAAGAAAGTGTGGTGCCTCTGATAAATCTGAGAATCCCAAAATTATCTATCAGGAGCTACTTGTTTTAGAAGCACACAAGACCCTGTGAGAAAAGCAACTGAAACAAGAAGGGCTCTGCCACTCCTACAGCCAGGAAGTGCAAGTGGTCCTTGGTGAGGTCTCAAGAGGCTGAAGCCTGTTGCCTCTACAAACTCTCAAAACTAACCAGTCAAGTCCCCTTCTAGGTCAAAGCCTCAGGCTGAGAAGAAACTGCTAGGGATGAAGCCAAAGTGAGCATCACAAGGATAACACAAAGAAAGGAAAAAGAAAGCTCAAATGAAAGTGGATCTATAAGTTAGCCTCAGTATTTTGGAATACTACACAAAAACAAGTGAAGAGTGGGATCTAGAGAATGACATACACTCTCCCTGAACCATACCATCTAAAACTAATTGCAAATAAGGGAAAACTGGCTGCATACAAAACTCAGCAACAAAAAGAGATCAAAGCCTAGTCCCACACTAAGTTCGTATTTTTAAAGAGAGAAAAAAAATCCCTTTAGAAAAGTACATAAGAAAACATGCCTCCCAAAAGGTGGATAGCTATAAATTAGTATTTCAAAACAAGCTAAAAAACACTTTATATACAGACTAACATCAATCAGAATTAGAAAAATTCAGAAATCAGATGACAGAATAATTGAAAATGAAAGACAAAAATCAGTTCAGAAATAAAAACTAAATTAGAAGGAACATAAGAGTAAATAAAACTTTTCAACGACAAGAGAAATAGTGAAAAGGAAAGAAACAAAAAAATCAAAAAGGACAAAAAAAAATTTAAGAAAACATACACAAAAAAACCAACATACATACAACAAAGAAAATCAAAGCAAGGGAACAGAATATTAAAAATCCTTTAATTCAAGAAAACTTTCCTGCACTTAATTTAAAAAAACGTAAAACTACACTTTGAAAGGTCATATCACATACATTTGAAAAATCAACCCAGAATGACCATCACCAAGATACAATTTAGTTAATAGTAAATGAAAATATTTTTTGAGCATCTGCAGTTATTTTATAAGGAAAATAAAATCAAATTGTCATCACTTTAACAGCAACACTTTACGCCAGGGGGGAACAAAATAACATATTTAAGACTCAAGGAAAGAAAACATGAACCAAAGATTTTATACCCAGCTAAATTTCGAGTATAAAGACTGCTAAGTGTTATCAATATAGAAAACAGCAATAAGAATCTACTAGAGAAGAAGTCCAGTAGAAGAGGTCAGCCACTCCCACAGCAATATCCAAAATGACTAAAGAAATGTCAGTAACAGTGAGCAGAAAATATATACTTGTAGAACTGAAACTCAACGAGGGTTATAAAAGAGAGAAAAGAGTATATAATGGGCAAATGTACTGACACTGTAGATATAGTACAACTATCAAAAAATGGGATAACATATGCACAAAAGGCAACTTTCCAGAACTGATATTGTGATACTTGGTTTTGTTAACTAAGACTGTTGTGTGCATACATGTGGAATGATGCAAATGACTAAGTATGTGATATTATTATTCTACCATTCCCTTGTGTCCCTAAAAATCAGGATTCAGATATGGAAGAAAAAGACGGAGACAAAAGACAGAAGAGGTAAAGTTCAAAATGCTGTACTCAGAAATATTTTTAGTTCAGAAAGTATCTCTAAAATAATCACATACACAGAAACACATCTTTGTATTTCCTAGCCCCATTCGCTAAAAAGCTTAGAAACAATAATCAACCCAGCAGCAAAGAGCATCCCTAGCACACAAATTGTATTCTTGAAATACCACTTCCCATGAAAAGAAACCAGGTTCCTTAACAAAATGATTATTGCTCCTATAATTAATAATCACCAAGGGATCAAAACTGGAAATTTTCTCATACTCAACGAGCCTGCCCAGGGCATTCTCACCTCCCTCTCAAAAAAAAAGTAAAAGAAAACACTCCTAAGCAAAATCTGTATTTCATTTCCTGTAAACTACTAGTAACCTCTGCCCATTTTTCTTTCGAATTATTAGTCTTGCTTTTTATTTCCAGGCACATCTTATATGTTGCATATTAAACAGAGTACCTCTGTGTCTTGCAAAGAGTCTTCCCAATATATATATTAGTAACTATTTATTTTGGGGCACTGTTTATTTTTTGCTTTGGATTTCATGTTACCCTTAGAAAGACCTCCTCCAGTCAAATTATATTTTTTTAATATCCCATGTTTTCTTTGGGTTATTTTACGGTTCATATTTTGCTGGTTAACATTTTGATCTGTTTACACCTATTTTGGTATAAGATATGAAGGAGAAGTCCAGCTTTTTCCAAATGGATATCCAGCTTTGTTTTCTTTCTTTTCCTCAGTCAATATACATTAAAGAAATCCAGTGTTTAAAGAACTTAAATATAACACATCATACCAACTCAACTAACCAAGTACAAAAAATATTCATATAAAGTTGTTCACATGTACATTCTAGATTACCAGTTTCTTTGCAAAAAAGAAAAATAGAAAAAAAATCAGATTTATGAACTAGCATTTGAAACTAACCTTGTGCTTAGGTTAAAACTTCCCTCACATCTAAATCTCCGCATAAACGTTAAGAAGTCACTAAAATATATTCAGTTGCTCTGCACGAGGCCACTATGACAGAAATACTTCTTCAAAATGTATCTAAATGAAACTCCCTCCTGTGGCTTCTAATGG